ATTTCAATGTCTGTCACCACTCACCATATTTACAACAGCTTTCTGTCAAGTCGTCATAAATAAGTCTGCTCACAGAATATAAACAAACGTGCTTGCTGGTAGGATTTATCTCCCTTTGCACCTACGGCTACACATACGCGCAATATATTATCAACATATTTTTGCACACTTTAATCGGAAAATCCAATATGTTCCCCTATTTAGATTTTTCTAGACTTTTCGTATGTTTTAATTACATATATTCTGAGTGCAATCCAACAAGAATGGTCTTTGTTGGAATTAGGTGCGGGTCAAACCGTAGGCTGACTGGTCTAGATGGGCTTATTACAGGACAACACATAATCTCTGACTGATAGAAGGGGGTGGACTTATAACAGGACAACACATAATCTCTGACTGATAGAAGGGGGCGGACTTATTACAGGACAACACATATTCTTTGACTGAAAGTAGGGGATGTGCTAATTACAGGACAACACATAATCTCTGAGTGAAAGTAGGGATCTAGCTTATTACAGGACAACACATTATCTCTGACTGAAAGTATGGGATGGGTTTACAGAACAACACATAATCTCTGACTGAAAGTAGGCGATGGGCTTACAGGAAAACACATAATCTCTGACTGAAAGTAGGGGATGGGTTTATTACAGGACAGCACATAATCTCTGACTGAAAGTAGGGATGGGCTTATTACAGGACAACACATAATCTCTGACTGAAAGTAGGGAGTGGGCTTATTACAGGACAACACATAATCTTTGACTGATAGTATAGGGATCTGGCTTATTACAGGACAACACATGATTTCTGACTGAAAGTAGGGATCTAGCTTATTACAGGACAACACATAATCTCTGACGGAAAGTAGGGATCTAGTTTATTCCAGGACAACACATAATAGGGATCTGGCATATTACAGGACAACACATTATCTCTGACTGAAAGAAAGGATCTAGTTTATTACAGGACCACACATAATCTCTGATAGTATAGGGATCTGGCATATTACAGGACAACACTTAATCTCTGACTGAAAGTAGGGGGTGGGTTTATTACAGGACAGCACATAATCTCTGACGGAAAGTAGGGATCTAGCTTATCACAGGACAACACATACACTCTGACTGAAAGAAAGGATCTAGTTTATTACAGGACCACACATAATCTCTGAGTGAAAGTAGGGATCTGGCTTATCACAGGACAACACATACTCTCTGACTGAAAGTAGGGGGTGTGCTTATTACAGGACAGCACATAATCTTTGACTGATAGTATAGGGATCTGGCTTATCACAGGACAACACATACACTCTGACTGAAAGAAGGAATCTAGTTTATTACAGGACAGCACATAATCTCTGACGGAAAGTAGGGATCTAGTTTATTCCAGGACAACACATAATAGGGATCTGGCATATTACAGGACAACACTTAATCTCTGACTGAAAGTAGGGGGTGGGCTTATTACAGGTCAACACATAATCTCTGAGTGAAAGTAGGGATCTAGCTTATCACAGGACAACACATACTCTCTGACTGAAAGAAGGGATCTAGATTATTACAGGACAACTCATACTCTCTGACTGAAAGTAGGGAGCGGGCTTATTACAGGACGACACATGATTTCTGACTGAAAGTAGGGGGTGTGCTTATTACAGGACAGCACATAATCTCTGACGGAAAGTAGGGATCTAGGTTATTACAGGACAACTCATACTCTCTGACTGAAAGCAGGGATCTAGCTTATTACAGGACAACACATACTCTCTGACTGAAAGAAGGGATCTAGTTTATTACAGGACAACACATAATCACTGTCTGAAAGTAGGGATCTGTCTTATTACACCAAAAGGCTTTTGCTGGCTTTCTTCTTGACTTCAATAAATACAGTCATTATATTATAGACTAAACAGTAGATAATATATATATTTTATAAAGTGTCACAAAGTTTGAATGCAAAACATACACCTTTATATATACATAAACTGATTCAAATGTCCAGTCTTAAAAGACATTCGAGACATTATAAATTAAAGTTCCCAAAAAAAGGATACACACTGTGCAATGAATTGTATCATCTGCAGTATGCATTCACTTATTAAAATGTATTTTCCGTAACATATGCTAATAGAAGTGGGGGGGTTTCATACACAAAACACCCACAGTTTTGAATGTCATTAAACCGTTTGTTTAAGTTCCTAATTAGATACACGGTGCTAGTATACATGGGACTGAAGAGTAGTAATCAATATCAAGTGATCTTTGGTAAGATTCTTTAGTTTGGATATATGTAATATCGAAGTGAGCAATTTGTATCTTTTACCTGTACAACGATGTGACGAAATTGTGTATTTAAAAAAAACAAAAATTATGTCCCTCGACCTGGATCCCCTATTGATAGGGTCGAATGACATACAATTTTTTTTAAATATACAATTTTGTCACATCGTTGTACAGGTTAAAAATACAAATCGCTCATGCAGTCATAGCTTCACAAAGGGACCAGTTGATCTTGAAATGTTGTAACAGGTTTAATTCGTACATTGTTTGTGTAGAAAGTAAAACTTTGATAATATAAAGTAATATTTGGGTTAAGGGGAACTTTCTTCTTGCTTACTCCTCCCTCCGTCTAAGGTTCCCCCTCCCTCTTTCTAAGGTATCCCCCCTCCCTCCGTCCTAAGGTATCCTTCACCCTCCCTCTAAGGTTCACCCCTCCCTCTGTGTAAGGTTCCCCCTCCCTCTGTCTAAGGTTTCCCCCCCCCCCTCCTCCGTCTAAGGTATCCCCCCTCTTTCCGTCTAAGGTTCCCCCTGCCTCGGTCTAAGGATCCCCATCTCCTTCCATCTCAAGTATCCTCCTCTCTCCTTCTATGGTATCCCCCCTCCCTCCATCTAAGGTTCCCCCCTCTCTCCTTCTATGGTA